ACACACACACACATATAGATATATATCTATATATATATATATATATATACATACACACATAGAGTATATATGCTCAATGAATAGCGAAAATGCCCCAGTGCATGTGTGTTAACTAGGGATGCACCGATACCGATACTAGTATTGGTATCGGTGCCGATACCAAGTATTTGGGCTCGTAATCGTACTTGCCCAAATGCTCTGATACCTTCCCCGATAAAGGAACTTACGGTCAGAGAGAGATTTACTCTGACCTGCAGTCCCGTGAAGTAACATGGAGCCGGCTTACCGGCCAATCAGGAAGCCAAAGGTGGTGGGTAATGACTCACCACCCGGATTCCTGATTGACATGAGGACACCATGATGTAGCCCATTTGTGCAGTGGAGGAAGAGACACACTTCAGTGATCACAGAAGCAGGGAGCTGGCTTGGAGGGTCTGGTGAGTATAACTTTTTTCTTTTTAGAACCTAGACAAAAAAGAGCACTTAGCCCTTGCAGAGCAGGAGTAGCCGCACTATAAGGGTTAATAACATTTTGTTCCTGGAGTTCTTCTTTAAACCCTCAGCACCCAGTCTCCAATGCACATGCATTAACCGGCCCCCAGGGCACCTGCTTAAGGTTCAATGAGTTCAAGTCTTGGACACTGTTCTTTACCACTATTTCTCCTCTATAAAATGGTTCACATGCTGGTCACCGATTGGTCTCTGGAGAGACAGTCAGAGGGTGCTCATATTTACTTTTTGTTTGGATTTGGGAACCAAATGTATTATGGGCCCCTGTTATTCACGCAAAGGTTTTTATTCAATAGATATTGCAGTGACAATATTTCCTAATAGGTAATCAATGTGATCATGGTGAACGGGAAAATACTATATATATGCCCCCATGTGGAAGCTCTGATAGAATAGACCACACTCAACAGGGGGGCGTTGAAGAGGCAGTGTGGCTTCCACCTATATTTGCAAATGTATACAAATAAAACCTCTGTTTATATTGCAAATTGGAAACAGTGGAGAATTTGGATGGGGTGCTGGCTAGCTTGTATAAGTACAGGGGATTTTTTTTGTTTTTGTTTTTAATTGTTCTGAGAAATAAATTGATTATGTGGTTGCCATTGTTGTTTTGATTGCTGGATTTGGCTAAGTGTTCCTACACTTTGAAGGAGGAAGGGGCTACCTATAGACACGTCACTTATCAATTTAATTATTGCCATATGCCCAAAGAGAGGAGCTCTCTTAGACTACAGTTAGGGACCACTATTGACAGAGGGGCCTTGATGAGGCAGAGTGGCTTCCATGTATATTTGCAAATGTATGCAACTAAAGCCTCTGTCTGTAACACAATTTTGTGAAACAATGTAGAATTGAGGGTTTCTTGCTGCCTAGCTGGTATGGAGTGCTGGGAAATGTTTGTTTTGTGTTGTTTTCAAAAATGTCCTTTCCATGTGCACCTTACTTTAAAAGGCTAGTAATGAAGTGAGGGGAGCGTTTGCTCTTTTTGTTTTGCTTGAAAACACTTCCCATAATCCAGCCAGTGCCTATTCACAAAAAAAATGTAAAGACAGCATATGGGGAACAGTGGATCACTGGTTGGGTACTGCAGTTTGCTAACATCACACCACAACTCCCTGTTACATTGTTGAACCACTGAGTTAACTTGACTATACACTTTAATTTTATTACCTTAATGACCGAGGCCTTTTTTTTGTTTTTTGCACCCATGATATAATTCACATTTTAGGCCTGTAAATTACTTCAAACCCCCAAACATTATATATTTTCTTAAAGCCAGGACTCTGTAGAATAAAATGTTTGCTATTGAATTTTTTTTATGTTGCATGATATTAACAGAACTTATTATCAAACCCAAACATTTTGTGAAAAATTAACTTAAGTTAAATTAAGTGCCCCAAAACAAAATACAACAGCCATTTGTTTTATAAAATATAAAAGGTGAGATTACAACAAGTAAATAGATACCCAACATGCCCAGGTTAAAAATTCTGCGCGTCAGTAAAACGCCAACAAAATTCATAGACGACGCTTTAAAAGCCCCCACAGGTCATTAGTTTTGAGATGCGCTTAAATATTGGCCCTAGAATTATTGCTCCCAGTCTGGCGTGCACTGTGATACCCAACATGTGTATCATCCGTTTCGTACATAGGCGCATGTTTACATGAAGACGCTCATGCTTGCGGGGGGGGGACTTTAAAAAAGTTTTTTTACATTATTTTTAGATTTATTTAAATGTATTCTTTAAACTTTTTTTCACTTTAATTGCTATCACATAGGGGGCTTACAAGTTTACTGGCCCGTAGAAGCGAACTGTCGCCAGCTGAGTCGCCAGAATAGCTTCTATTGTTAAGCCGGCCGCCGGCTCTACATATACAGTATAAACAGAGTCCTGGCAGCTTTAGCAGATGAACTGCACTTCCAAACCAGTTCACCACTATTCCCAAGAGGCTGCCTTTACAGTGAGCCTCATTGTAATAATCAGTGTCACTGGTGTTAGAGATCTTCCTCAATCCCTCCTCTGCCCCCTTTTGCTATCAAAATCGACTTAATAAATCTAACATTTATTCTATAACACTTATACATGCAAGAAATAAAAAGAAAATATTGTATATGAATCATTCCATTTACACAAAATTATAACAATCAGCAACCTGCAACCATATTCAAAAATTACTCCATTCATGAACAGGGGCACATTTGCTAGTGTATAAAAATACATCTTTGTGTGTCTTCATATCTGATGTTGCTTGTATTATTTTTCAGTTTCTGCTATGAAATCTGTTCTGCAAACAGTAATGGCAATGTTTCATCCCGATGAACATGCTTATAATACAGCTGATATTATAATTTACATAATTTATCTTTCTTAAATATGCAATACAAAAACAAATTTAAAACTGTTGACCAGTTTTTTTCAGGAAATTGATCACCGAGAACTGATTACCAAAAAGCGTCTGTTGATTTTCTGATGTAGATAATTATGTCCTGTTTCGGAACACCTCCTGAGAACACGTTTACACCACTAATGATTGAGTCATTTTCTGATGAAGTGGTCAACATATGCATGTTAAGGTGCACGGCATGTGTTTAAGTACTTTCTGGAAATAAGTCTGTACTGCAAATGACAAAAGATCCAAGCAGCTGAGAGCAGTTATGCCGAGGAAGATCTCATTGTAGAAGTAGCACTCGTTTGCATGATGTATGAAGTAGATCCGAAACATGTGATAGGGAATGAAGCAGATTATCATGACTAAAATGAAAAACAAACTTTTTAACTGGGCCCAGAACTCTTGATGATCTAGAGCAGATTTCCTCAGTTTCTTAACAACCCTTACAATGATGAAAATTTGTACAACCAGAAGAAGACATATGACACTAACCACGACCACAACCAAAACATAGTTTAAGTTTATTACAGCAGGATTCCTTAATGCTGTGTGGAACCTAAAGCACTGTCCTGTGGAATTGTCATCAGAACTCCACCCATATCGCACATAGAATAAAGGAAAAATAACAAGTATTATGATAATCCACACTGCTGCGCTAGCCACCACCGAGTGGAGTTTTCTGTAGAACTCAATCTTATCCTTTTGTTTGAAGTAGCTGATGTACCTGATTATTAGCATAGCCACATAAAATATAAAGGAAAGGTATGTGTGAATGTGTATCATGGCACTTATTATCTTGCAAAATTTAAATCCAAAGTACCACTGTCTGTCAACATAGTAGATGATCCGAAATGGAACTGTGAGAAGAAAGATGCTATGGACCACTAAAAGATTAATGACTACAGTAGTGGTCAAAGAGCGGGTGTTTGTTCTATATAAAAGCAAGGTCATTATAATGATACCAATTGTTCCACCAACAAGAACTGTAGTGTAGAGCACAGTCAGAGTGACATATGCAATAGCATCATTCACAACACAAGTTTGGTTGTAGTTCCCCATCTTGGTTGTTGATGACCTAAAAACAAAACAAAAACACAATGAAAGATAATGAACATGTTCCAAGTATTTAGTAGACCTGATATGGTAATTATGCCTAACTCCTGACAAACTTTTTATTTTAGTTTTGGATAGTGTGAGCAAGAGTTAAAATTTTATTTTTTTCCATTTTCCCTCACTTCTTATCCCTGTGACACCTATAAAGGAAATGGGTGGCATAGTTATTATCTGAGGAGGAAGACATCATCAAAAGATCTAACTCTTCTTTTCCCTACTACAAATGTCTTTGTTTTTGTCTGTTGGCGAGATTTCCGTCCTGACATGAAGTGGAGGGGAAATCTCCCTTATTGTGATGCAAATGGGGAAAAAATGAAGGCTCTAACTCTTTCCCATGCTATCCACAATTTATTAAAATGTTTTGGCTGGAGTTGGGCATTAAAGTAGTACTAACTTTTTTTTTTATGCAAACACTCCAAAATCAGCAAGTTAAAAAAAATATATATGCAGCTTAAAAAAATAACAATGATAACAAATGCATGCTTGTAAATTTTGCTGGCAGTTTTTTGAAAACCATAGGTCTCAACTTGAAAAATAAATGTATTTTAAATAAAATAGCATGTGCACATTTATATGTGTTATTTCTATTTGACTAAAAGATTTTCTTTAAATCTTGAATCTCAAAGAACTTTGGGCATATGTAAAATTAACCCTTGCAGTGGGGCTACCCCTGCACTGCAAGGGTTTAGTGCTCGTTTTGGTCTATAGTCTACAATAAAAGAAGATATACTTACCCAATCCTCGGCCCCGCCTGGCTACTAGACCAGTCTCTGCTGCCTCTTCTCCCTCGGGCTACGGCAGTCTAAGGATCCATGAGTCATCATGTCTAATACAGTGTATTAGGCGTGAGGACGCCAAGGGACATTTCACTGCCGGAGTGGAGAGGGGGAGTGGTGAGCAGTCATCACTCCCGGATCGAGGAACGTTTGAATATATATTTTTTTATCTTAGACCCTAGACCAGGGGTATCAAACCTCCAGCCCTACAGCTGTGGTGGAACTACAAATCCCATGAGGCATTGCAAGATTCTCACAGCCAGACATGACTCCCGAAGAGAGATGCATCATGGGATTTGTAGTTTCACCACAGCTGGAGGGCCGGAGGTTTGCTAGCCCTGCCCTAGACCAAAATGAGCACTTAGCCCTCTCCCACTTATCGACAACTTGGTTGTTCATTACCTAATACTGACCAACGTTGCTGACAAAGTTGCTGACTGCCTAAATTAATTTTATTTATTTAAGTGACTTTGTCACTATAGGGTCACTTATTAAAATAAGACCACACTGAAAAAGAAGACACTCTATTCTTATCTTTGTGGGGTCCCGAGGTTAAAATTGCTGCTTTGCTGCTCCCTGGTTGCTGAAGGTATCTGACAACCGGATGTGTTGTATACTTGCTCTCCCCACAATATGCAGTGGTTCCTCCAACTAGCTCATTTGCCCTGTGTTAATGCCCGAGCTGGTAGGAGGAACTGCAGCATGCTACGAAAAGAGTAGGTATTGTACGCATCTGGAAAAGTGGAATATTTGCAGTGACCGGTGAGCAGCAAAGTGGTGGAGTATGAAAACACCTGAAAGGTAAGGACAGGCCATGATTCTTTTACATTATGGGCTTAGGTTAATACGTGACCCTGTTGTGTCGGTCACTTTAAGGTAGACTCAGACAAAATGTTGGTCTTTTGTATGTGTAGAGAAAGGCATATGTAATGAAAGAATTTAAGTTTTTTTGTTTTTTTTTAAATGGTCCTTAGTCTTGAGGTTTACAGTATGTGTGCTCGTGAGACTGTCACTTGTGGTACAGCGGTTAGGGGTATTTTATGGGTGCAAGGACTGTGACATAGGAGTGCTGCCCTAGCTGGAACTAATCTGGAACTGGTTGGCACTGGCTGAGATATGGCATACATTAACAATCTTATTAGGCTGTAAATACTTGTTATTTAGTGGAACTGAACTCAAAAACTGAAGCTATGCTGTATTATAGGGACAATTTAGAAATGATTATTGTGTCTAAGCAGTACCCTGAAAAATGTACCATTTGTACGGAGGGTACAAAGGCACTCCTTGCCTAATGCCTTGTAGCTGAATATCTTCCCTTAGAGATCTAAGGCACTGCTGCCTCCGACTGCTAGTCTCAAGAGATTTTAAATGAGATATGGTGATGTCAATACTCTGCTGCTCATTTTCTACTTGCTGGAGGTCCTGACATAAGGAAACAAAGCCCTGCCTCTGCCAAGATGACTGACTCCTCATAGAGGCACAGTACAGAACAAGGCAAGGTAAGTCAGTAATAGGGGCAAGATCAGGTGCATGTAGTGGGAGAAAAATGCCTGCTGATGTTATTGGTACATGGGAGGAGATAGGCCGTCTTGCCGAAGGCATAGGTGGAGAGTTCACATACTGAACTGCGGCAGTATTGCTGAGTCATCAAAGGTTATTGTCACATGACCAGAAACAGGGAGTGGAGTTTTTCAAATCCACTTCTACTTGCACTGGTCAGACACCAACACCAGGTGGTGGAATAAATATTCCAGCTCCAGGATATGGGGTGGGATCACAAGACCCAGAGATCTGACTGAAATCCCACGACAGTCCCACAGAATTCAGGACAATTAGGATGTATGCTAAATCCTAACTGGAGCATGATGTTGGATAGACCATGTCTGCAAGCATGTGATGTTGCACAGATATTGTCCTAGTAAAGGAAGATAAGGATGAAACTTTCAGATAACTATCAAACAACCAAAAATATATTTATTTTTTTTGTCCATTTTTTATACATTCCTTTCTTTATCCTTCCCCCTCCATCTATATATATTTTCCTTTGACCATTCATTTATCATCCATTCATTTTCTTTTCCCACAGATTAGACATAAAAGATAGTTTTTGTTTGTGTGGCCAAAACCATGGGCTTTTAGGTGGGAGCCGCACGGCTAAAGCATCTTTGGCCACACTGCAGTTAGTCTCTTCTTTGGCTATTGATTGACAGACCAGGTAGGAGGGAAGGATGCTAAGAGATAGGAGGAAGTGCAGAGAGAGATCACAGGCATGAGTAAGGATGGAGTGCGACACAGAAGAGGGTACACTTGGTTCTGCCAGAGAGGGATGACCTGGGAAGCCCTGATATTGTGGCGTACAACATGCTTTGCCCTGCACAGAACCACAGGATTCCCATTATCTGCAGAACAGTACAATGCAGCCTGCACCTCATTCACCCTAATGCAACCAGAAAAGTGCAGTCTACTCAACATTTGCAATCCATCCAGCCTGTAGGAGAAACCATCAGAGGACAAATTCCTTCTATAAGGAAATGTGACAGACCGTGAACAACCTTTTGGCCACTCTCGTGTGATGAGTTTTACTTACACCGATTTAGGAACAATACTGCCTATGGTGGATTTTTCTTAAAGGGGACCCCTGCCCCCTTTTACTGTGGCTTGTGTGGGACACGTTGGAAAGACACCCACTTACCTCTTCGTATTACAAATATCTTCCTTCCAAGTTTGAGTGATCCACTATTACGTTTAAAGAGCCCCACTACTGGCAAACGTTACTAAAGATTTTTCTACTTGCCAGTGGTTAGTTAGGTTCCAGTAAATTACATTTAGGCCCCATAGTCAGCTGCATGCCTCCTACTTCTTAACAGAGGCATCTATTGTACTCATCGCTGTTTATTGTTGCTTGCAGTGTTGTTTAGAGCAAAGCACCTCACATAATGCACATACACCAGTTCTATCTATTTGACCGCATTATTGTTTTGTACTGCTGTCATTAAATTGTTTCCATTTCCATTGTCCAAGTTGTGTAACCATTATGAAATTTGAAGTACTAATTTCTGCCTTAATTGTACTGATAATTATTGTGAATTGTAATATTAATTGCTTAATCGTTTTATTTCTGTGTGTCCGTGTATTGTTGAGTCCAGTTACACAGTAGGTCATGACTGGGAATGGTCGGAGAACTCAGCATTTCCAGCAGCAACTTGGAAAGTAATTGCTACACTTGTAAAACAGATTTGTAAAGAAAAGAGAGTAGAATGTAATGCCTTTGCATTAATAGAATATCAATACAGTAAAAAATAATAAAAAGGTAGATTCTAGCATTTAGTGTAATGGTCTTCCTATTGTAATCCCATAGGAGTACTCCTAGTCTGGAGAAACTCAGGCAGATGTTTCACAAAGGCTGTTGTAAAATAAGAATGAGAAATACTTCCTTGTTTACATTGACATGTCTGGTTCCTGCCATAATCTCCTCTCCAAATGCGTAGAAATGTGTGCAGAATTTGTCTCCTTTCTTAATATGGTCCATTTAGAGCAAATAGGGATACTATATTGAAATCTAAAAATTAAGCTTATCTTTGATAATTAGCATTTTTAAGGCCTTAGAGCTCTCTTTAAAACCTCAAAGCATCTTGAATCCCTATAAATGCCTTGCCCTAACAAAGTAATGTTGTACTGAAAACATATCTTGTAAGGATTGTAGGGTTCATGGACAAGAAAACACACCACTGTTGTTCTTTTTGATGTGTTAGTTTGCTACTGGGTCAGGTGCACCATTCTCCTTTTTGTTGACCTGTGGTGAATAAAACCTCTGCCCTGACTACAACAACCTATAAGAGATAGCCATATGGCAGAAGGAGATAAATACTTGTAGTAATACCTACAGTTTTAGGAAGAATTCAGCACTGTAATAACACAATAACCAACCTTTTTTGGCCATAGTTCTATGTCCCCTTGTGACCCAAAACTCAGCATTTAGTGGGCTATTGGCAGCAATATGCTGACAGCGGAGAGCCATGCTGCAGCCAGGATGGATCCCAACAAAATTGCCAGGATCCACACCACTGGCTGATTGATAGCTGGCTCTGCCTCTCTAGAGGCAGAGCCACCTATGCCCGCCCCCTCCCCTGCCTGTCCCTCCAGTCAGTGCTGGAGGAACAGAGAAGGGAGGGGGAATCCCTGTGGGGATCGGTGACTGTCAGAGAGATCAGGAAATGAGCGATCGGCAGTATGTGATCACTCATTTCTTGATCTATAGAGACCACCTGTGACAGCTTCGGTATCAGACATCGGCTCTAATTATGGGGAAGAGTGTATTTCACTCTCCCCATAATTTTCCTTTAACACAACAATGAAAAATATTGGCACTATTAATAAGTACCATGTAGACATGAGCGCTGGCAAAAAAAATTGTTTTGTTTAGCTTTCATTCAGATTTTTCGTTATTTCGGGATTTGGGTCCAAAAGTCAATTTGCTTCGGGATTCAGACAAAAATGAATTTTCGTTTATTTTGTTAGCGGTAGTACAAGTTTTTTTTACGGGCAAAATTATCATTGCAGCAAAGTGACATTAGACAAAAGAAAAACAATTACATTTTCAGTGCGCAGAAGAAAAAAAAAAGTGTGAGGTCCCCCCCCCCCCGCCAATTGATACCAGACCCTTCAGGTCTGGTAGGAATGTTAGGAGGGAGCCCCCAAGTAAAAAATAAAAAAAGTGTGTGGGGTTCCCCCAAAAGTCCTACCAGGCCTTTCAGGTCTGGTAGGAATTTTAAGGGGGAACCCCACCCCCAAGATTCCCCCTTAAAATTCCTACCAGACCCTTGATCCGAAGGCCTGGCAGGGCAGGAAAGTGGGGGGTCAATCAAGCAGCCACCCTCTCTGCGTCATACCAGGTCTAGGTGCCCTTGGCATTTAGAGAGTGTGCCCATGCCAATGGGGACAAGGGCCTCTTCCCCACAACTCTGGCCCGGTGGTTGTGGAGCTCTGCGGGCAGGGGGGCTTATGTGCATCGGGGTAGCCCTTTAATTAAGTGTGCACCCAGATGCCGCCCCCCATTTTGAATGAGTAAGGGGTACTTGTACTCCTACTCATTCACTAAGGGTGGTTAAAAGTAAATGTAAATAAATACACCTCACATTTAGATAAAATTCCTTTAATTGAAAAAAAAAAAAAACAGTCAGTTTACTGCAACGAAAGTTTGTTCGCAACAAAAATTTGTACATACTACCGCTAACGAAAATTGCGATTTTTTTTTTCTTTTTCTTTTACGTTGATGCTTAACACAATAAAATTTCATTCGGGAAAGAAATTAGGATGCATCCTACATTTTCGTTATCGGAAATTCGTATTAGTTTGCATTCACTACAGGCAGTCCACGGGTTACGGACGTCCGACGTACGGACAATCCGTACTTACGAATGGGGTCGCCGATACATTTAGGAGAACTGTGGCTGCAGCGGCCTGTGTCCTTTCAAATCCCCGCTGCATACCGGCGTTGCCCCACGTACCTACGCTGATGTGTCGGCTTCCTCTTCAGGCACTCCGTCGGCTTCCCCGGTCCGGACGATCCTCCGGTCTCCTGGTCCGGACGCGGCTCCTCTGCCCCGCCCCCTGCCTATCTCTTCATTGCAGGCTGGGAGCCATACACAGCCTGCTATTAGATATTGTAAAATGCAATAGCCAATAGCAAGCTGGCTATTGCACTTGCCCACTGTCTGCTGTCAATCAGCATGGGGGGACCTGATAGAGAACTTTCTGCTTCAGGCCCTTCCTCTGCTGATTGACAGCAGGCAGT